GGTTGTTTCTTTTTTTTTTAGGAAATGCAAATTTGCTAATAAAAATATTGAAACTAATTAAATAGAAAAAACAACAAATACTTTTGAAAAAAAAAGTAAAAGTTTGCAAAACAATCGGGAGGTTGATGGAGGAGAACGCTTCAATGGCAATTATTTCCGGCCATCACTTTCTTCTTCTCTCTTTCTCTCTCTACTTGTCTCGATCCAATTCATCGTCCTCACGTTTTGTTTAACATTTCTTCTTCCTCGATCACGTCTCTTTCTTCTCACATTTCTCTGATTTTTCCCTTTTTAGGGTTTTCTTCCACATTTCTAGGGTTTTTGCTTGTGTCGAAAAGATGGTTAATTGAAGGTAATGGTGGAAGATTCTGAGGAATTGGCTTGTGGGTTTTTCTGGGTTCCTCAGGTGTAGATCTGAGGTTGGTTTTTTTTTTCGTTTCAAAATTTCCCCTTTCTTCTTCTTCGTGTTTTTGGCTCCGGTCTGGTTAAGGCAATGAGCGCTTCAAGGTTCATAAAGTGCGTTACCGTCGGTGACGGAGCTGTCGGTAAAACATGTTTGCTGATTTCTTACACCAGCAACACATTTCCCACGGTATACAATATCTCTCTCTACTTCTCATTCTTCCATTCTTTTGTAATGTGTTCAATTCGAAAGCTTTCACAGGTCGACAAATCTTGTGAATTGTGATCTCTGTCTGAATATGGTTTCGTTGTGATTGGTGATTGGTTTGAATAATCACTCATTTTGTGAAATTTTCCATGGAACAGGATTATGTTCCGACTGTTTTCGATAACTTTAGTGCGAATGTTGTTGTTAATGGGGCTACGGTGAATCTAGGATTGTGGGATACTGCAGGTAAATACATAACTCAACATGTTTGAGGAGAGAGTTTTCGTAGGTGCGGCTATGGATTTATAATTTGTGTCTCTTCGTTATTTACAGGGCAGGAGGACTATAACAGATTAAGACCTTTGAGTTACCGTGGTGCTGATGTTTTCATTCTAGCCTTTTCTCTCATTAGTAAGGCTAGTTATGAGAATGTGTCCAAGAAGGTAGAGTTTTCTTCGTGCTGGTCGACAGTTTCTAATTTTGAACAAGAGTTTCTAATTTTGGTTTATAAATTTTGCTGCTTGATCTTCTGTTTTACAGTGGATCCCAGAGTTGAAGCACTATGCTCCTGGTGTCCCGATCGTCCTCGTTGGAACCAAACTAGGTAATAAGACACTCTGCAATTTGCTTTGATGAGTTATACTGTATATTATCTAATTCTATCGCATTGTGAGAGAATCAGCACCTACGCTTTGATATATATATAAATTAGTGGACATAACTTCACATTTTCTTGGTTCTGGGAAAATTTGTTCATGGATCCATTTGGTGAAAACTGAGGCTAGTTTTCAGAGTATATCATTGGTCGAGAGGTTTCTTCTTGTATCTTGCACTTCTTGTGATAAGCAACCATATGCTATAACCTTCTTGTGACCTCCATTTTGAGAGGCAATCATTTGCCTTTAAGCATCCTCCATTCAAAATAACTTATTCATAGCAAGCATATACTTTAGAGAAGGCATTTGCAAGAGTTTTGGTGAATTATTTGGTTGTAACTCACAATCGTTTGCTCCATCTGAAATTTGATACTTTGACTTTGCCTTTTATTGATTATTTAACCTTGGTTTGTGTCAGATCTTCGAGATGACAAACAGTTCTTTATCGACCATCCTGGTGCTGTGCCTATTACCACTGCTCAGGTAGGAACAACTCTTTATTTCCTCATATTATCAAAAACCCGTTGATCATTTTCGGCTCTGCATCATAGGGAGAGGAGCTCAAGAAACTAATCGGAGCTCCTGCTTACATCGAGTGCAGTTCAAAATCACAAGAGGTAAAAGAATAAAAAGCAACCCATGAATCAGTTTTTTCAATGCTGGCTTCATCTTTTTTTTTATGAAAAACTCTGTGAATAATTGCAGAACGTGAAGGGAGTGTTCGATGCAGCGATCAGAGTGGTCCTTCAACCTCCAAAGCAGAAGAAAAAGAAGAGCAAAGCACAAAAAGCTTGCTCCATCTTGTAATAGCTCTCATGGAGGTCAAGAAGCTCTTTGAAATGTCGATGACAGGGTGGTTACAAAAAAAAAAAAAAGTA